TTGCACAGCACCTGCGTGGTACCCTCCCCCACCGCACTGCATGTGTAGGCTGCCCCCACCTCAAACTCCCTCGCTGCACTGCTCCATGGGCTTCCCCTGCAATGTGGGCTGCATTGCCCAACCCCCTGGGGTGGGAGTAGGAAGCAGAAGATTTCATAGATTTCATAGACATTAGGGCTGGAAGGGACCTCGGAAGATCATCGAGTCCAGCCCCCTGCCCAAAGGGCAGGAAGTCAGCTGGGGTCATAGGATCCCAGCAAGATAAGCATCCAGTTTGCTCTTGAAGGTGTTCAATGTAGGCGCTTGAACCACCTCCGGCGGCAGGCTGTTCCAGACCTTGGGGGCTCGGACAGTAAAGAAATTCTTCCTTATGTCCAGCCTGAAACTGGACATACTGGTGGTATGGACATACTGGTATGTCCATACCAGTATGGACATACTGGTGGTCACCCCTGATAAACTTGTAGGTGGCCATCAGGTCACCCCTGAGCCTGCGCTTTTCCAGGCTAAAGAGCCCCAGGGCTCTCAGCCTGTCATTGTAAGGTCTGCTTCCCTGACCTCTGATCATGCGCGTGGCTCTTCTCTGCACTCTCTCAAGCTTCTCCACATCCTTTTTGAATTGTGGAGCCCAAAACTGGACACAGTACTCCAGCTGCGGCCTCACTAAGGCCGAGTACAGGGGGAGAATGACGTCCCGGGATTTGCTTGAGAAGCATCTATGGATGCAAGCCAGCGTTTTGGTCGCTTTACTAGCCGCAGCATCGCATTGCAGGCTCATGTTCATCTTGTGGTCAATGATGACCCCCAAGTCTCTTTCTTCCATAGTGCTAGCCAACATAGCACTGCCGAGCCTATAAGGATGCTGCGGGTTTTTCTTCCCAAGGTGGAGAACCTTGCATTTATCGGCGTTGAACACCATCAGATTCTCGTCCGCCCACTTGCTGAGCCTGTCCAGGTCAGCCTGGATCACCCGCCTGTCTTCTGGTGTGGATGCTTTGCCCCAAAGTTTGGTGTCATCGGCAAACTTGGCCAGTCTGCTTCTGACTCCAGTGTCCACATCATTAATGAAGATGTTGAACAGTATGGGTCCAAGGACAGAGCCTTGGGGGACCCCACTGGTCACAGGACACCATGATGAGTGACTTCCATCAATTACTACCCTCTGGGTCCGACCCCGGAGCCAATTTTCCAGCCAGCGGATCATGGAGGACCCAAGGCGACAATTCCAAGATAATGGAAGGAAGGGGAGCTTTGCGACCCTGGCTGCAGGAGCAGCTAGACTGACAGGGGAAGTAGCAGCTGGGGGCTGTACATCAACCTCTCAGGGGCCACAAGCAGCCTGCAGGCCATCAGCTGAACGGCATGATCTTAAAGCACAGGTAAAAAAAAGAAATCAGATGACCCACAATAATCTTCTGCCTGCAGGGAGGTATTATGGCCTCATTCTTACCCACTCAATCAATACCCAATCTCCCAAATATGATGGATCCTGCCAAACATGACCACCAGCATCCTGGACAGCAAACAGTGGGTTTACTTTCTCATCATGCAGTAAGACTCTATTATACAAAACATGCAGAGCTACGATTCCAGAGAGACTGGCCCAGCAGGCAGCATCATTGTGATAGAAAGTTATCAGCCAAATCTCAAAGGCCTCACCTGGCTTTCAAGTTCTGCAGCGTTAACAGATGACATGTCCTCCACGTAATTGGATGGAAAATAGTGCTGGACTTTTTCTCCATAGTCTCCTTTCCACCTAAAATGAAAACAAAAAGAAAAAGACCTTCCAACTCAGGCCATTAATTCAGCAATAATCCTCAAGAAATTGGCCATTAATACCCAAGACCAGTTTGCTAGCAGACTATCACCAAAATAAAAGTGATGAAGTAGCTAAAAGCTCTAACAAAGTGATCGTTAACTGTGGTAACAGACGATTTCAAAGGGATTACAGCTACTGTAAACTGCAATTAATGACTGAAGAGGCTTTTTCCCCTCCGGTACTAAAAATACTCTTGCGTGGTTGATTGCCTTATGGAAACTACCGGGAAACATTAGATCCCTAAGCTTTCCCATCAATTTATAAAACAGGAAAGAAAATACTTATGAAGACTTGAGGGGTGGGAATATTTCTAATGTGTTTCTGTTTCTGGAGGCGTCCTACTCAAAGTCGGGAGGGGGGCAGTGGCAAACTGGTGACACGGGATTAGCTGACCATTGTGCCTCCTGGAAGAAGAGACTTCCAGAACAGAAAGTCAAGAGGGCGGATGCTTGACACACTGTGATATGGTGCTGCATCAGGCCTCACTTGATGGCATGGGAAAAGGCACAGGCATAACAGAATGGTAAAGAACTGAAAGGGAGACTGAGGCTGGAACAAAGGGCACTTGTACACGTGATGAATATTGCCCATTTTTGAGGTTTAATTGCATCATGCTGTACATGTGCAAGGGTTTTTTTTTTACAACTTAAATGAGTTTGTTACATTGCAAACTAAACCACAAAAAAAATAATCAGGCCCCTCGCCATAACAGTAATGGAAGCCCCTAAATTCAAACAGTGGGTTTTTAACCGTCGCAATTAAAAACCCACCATTTCAACTTAAGGGACTAAACCCCCGTCACGTGTACAAGCACCCTTTTAAAAAGGGCAGAGAGCCCAGACAGCAAGGGACCAGGCCTAGCAATCAAACACTGCGCAATAAAGACTGCAAGCCCAGGGTCACTCCGCTCAGAAGCTTTCAGGGTTCCCATAATGCATCAAAATCTCAGGCACAGGTCAAGTGAGTGTCAAAAGAGGGAGCTGAGGAAAGTAAAGGGGGATTTTCTTTATTTAATGGATTCTGGATCTATAAGGGTGGGCCTAAGAAACAGAAGCACAGCAACAGAATCCATTGGCTTGGAAGGGACTTCAGGGGCCACTTAATCCAATCCTCTGCACAAATCCAGGATGTGCTATTTCCAAACCATCCTAGACAGACACCTATCCAGTCTCTCTTTGGAAAAAGGGAATTCTACAACTTCCCTCAGCAGTTTGATTCAGTTTGGAAGTCCTTCTTGAGATTTAGTTTAAATCTACTAAAAGGCAGTTTAAACCCACTTTCCTCCTCTTCTCTACGATAGCCTTTCCAATATTTAAGAACTGCTATCATGGCCTCCCTTATTCTCCTTTTCTCCAAACTAAACAAATGCCTTTCGGATGGCTCGCTCTCCAACTCCTTTATTGCATTTGTTGCCTAAATCCAGATCATCTCTAAACTTGCAACTTCATTCTTACAATACACAATACTCCAGGTGTGGCCTAACCAGCACTGACTAGAGCTGTGTTTCTCAACCCGTGGGTCACAAGAATGCATGAAAGGGTCGCGAACAAATTTTTAAAAATGGATCAACTAACTTTAAAAATGGATTCTCCTTTAAAAAAGACAAATTTGGGAAATGGTGGGTTTTCCTTGCAGGCTGGTAGAATTCCAGCCTGCAAGGGGCTATTTGGGGCCCCTCCTGCCCCCCACACCCACCTGCTCCCCATACACTTCAGGGATGAGAGGCACTGGGTCAGGACTGGCCAGCTATGTTTACAAATGGGTCCCGGTACAAAAAAGGTTGAGAACCACTGGACTAGAGGGGTACTATTGCCTCCTATGTCTTCTACACAACACCTCGGTTTATGCAACCTAGAACTGCATAGTAAATGAGAAAAGTTTTAAGAACCATTGCCCAAAGCTGAACCCACTTTCTTGTCAGGATAACTCTACGTAAGCTCTCTCTTAAGGATTCCCTGTCCTTACCATCCTCCTGTTTCCTTTGTGACATTATGAATTAAAGCCCCTTGGCAGAAAGTCAGCTCATCACTTCTTTTGGCTTTGTAGTCATATAAGGCTCTCACTGTTCTCTGAGGCTTCAAGAGAAACAAAGGGAAAGGGGTCAAAGAGAGGAACAGGTCAGCAACACGATCAATAAATCCATCTTAAAGAGAGAAGAGAAGAAAATAAATTGGATTTCTTCTTTTTTTTTGTTCTTAGATTTCGGAAGCTTTATACCGAAGTTCCAGAGCGACATCTACTGGCAGAAGCCATCTACTGCTCGACCAGCCATCCTTGCAACAAAGGATTTCTCTTCTCGGTGCGGCAACACGGGCAAACAATAGAGAGAACACTGAACTGTCACCTTTGCATCCTCTTTACATGCCTGCAGATAGGATCAGAGTCTCGAGGCTTGGACGCCGTCCAACGGAGGATGGTTGTATCCTCCGCAAAACCTCATCAGCAATACTACAGATCAAATTTCCTCTAGGAAACCCTAGTTCCTAGCACTACAAGCAATTTCCTTATCATGAATTCACTCCCACCTGCATTCTTTCATCGTGAAGCAAAGCCATCAGTCACAGAGACAAAGAATTACAGCTAAACATGCATTTAGAGCTGAGTACGCTTTTATGAGAGTTAGAGATAAATGTGTTTACCATCCCACTTGCTTTTATATGTTAAATGTTATGCATCTTCAAAAAAGGTGTAATAAAATCTAATTTAAATAGTTAAATGTTCAATAAAGAGCCCACTTTCACATAGGAAAAACGTATGCATGACTATGCACCCACTTTTGCCTGTAAACCACATTTGTGAGTTTATTTGTAACCGCATACACGAATATACCAGCTCAAATGTATGCATTATTGGGGCTTTGCAGGCTGGACTTTACTGATGTGCAGATTTGACCTTCTCAGGTTGAACTTTCAAATGGGCCCTTCCTTTTCCAGTTGCAGCCACAGAAGCAGGCATCCCAACCCAAACTCAATACCCAGGTGCCCCATGTTCCAGTCTGCATAAATCAATACAGCGTTTGTAGGTGCAAGCGGAGAGGGAAGACTTACATACAAAAAAAAAATCACACCCTCTACAGTTTTACTTTCCTCCACACGCCAGTTCTGCCAAGGCATTTAACCACACTTTGCAATGTTTCTAACAGGAAATTAACACATATGTTCATGGCTTTTTCAAGTATCTAAAAGGAAGTTTTGTTCACGAACTATCTGGAGCACATACATACCACTGCAGGGGTTATTTCATTGGGGTCCACGTACATCTTGACATCATACAGCGAGTTGATATCTTTTTCCTAAAAGTAGAGTGGGGAAAAAGAGGGAGGTTATGGAAATATATTTAAGTCTCAAAGATTGCTGTTGGCAGAATGAGGGCTCCTTATGAGCCAGGCACCTCCCTCTGTGTTGCATGTGGGTTAACCCAAGCTGTGTTATGTACCCATTTGTAGACCCCTGCATATCTTTAGGAATAGTCCTTCAGGCTGAAATGAGTGGGCTCACAAGGAAGTTGTCACTTCCTCACTGAACCACTTCACTAGCTCTTACAAGACCCTTTTCATCCATAGGTCTTAAAGTACCCATTTTAGAGATGGAGAAACTGAGGCACAGAGAGAAATGGTTTTTCCAATGTTACCAAGCAAGCTAGAGGCAGCACTGGGAATAGAGCAGGGTCCTGGCTCAGCGTCCTACCCGCTAGCCCACATGGCCTCCATTACAAAGATAATCACTTGCCGTGCTGTAGCGATTCAACAGTTCCTCAGTCACCGGGTAACGCAATTTCATTTTCCTGTACAGCGGATGCTTTTCATAGTAGGTCACCAGCTCGATTAAGCTTTCAAAATAGGCAGAGGTTCCAAGCAAAAAGTGGCGGCCTTCTTGTTTAATGCGGAAGTGCTTCACTTTCCCCTCAGCTCTGTGGAATAAATGTGGGTGCTGTGACACTTTAAAAGACACGGGCACATGGCAGAACGAAACCCCACTTATGATATGGATCACAATCCCTGAATACATGTTCAGTTTGTAAAAGAGCTCCCCGCTTTTCCAAAGCTCCATGTTATTTTCAGGCCATCCCATCTAATCCACAAAAAGAAACCTGTTCAGGAATTTTCTCACACTTTTCCCATTAATGGAGCTAGGGACCTCCATGGGTTTTTTTTATCTACTTGGACTTTTCTATTTTCTCTCCAATGTGCAAGCTATTCTAAGCTTCACAATCACCAGCCCACAGCCTTTTTAGACATAAAAGACACCTTATCAACACTTCAAACCTGCAATGACTTTGAAATGTCTACTGTTTTTTTCTGACTTTGAAATCTTTTCATAAGGATTCAACTGCATAATAGGCTTCAAATACCTATCTCATCAATAAAAGAAAGGAGAGACCAGGGTAGAATAGACTTGAGACTTCTGAACAACTTCAGTACAAAGTGAGGTATGTAAATAAAAGCCAGCATGTACCCAAGGCAATTTTGCATATTGTAGTGTGATATAGTCCTAAATAAGAATTCAAAAGGAATGACTGAGTACATTATGGTTCCTATAAACATGCATTAGTTTTATAAGTGAAATTGAAGTTATAAAGCAGTTTCCACTGGCAAGAAATACTGCAAAGCAAAAAGAAGCTTTTTTTTTTTTTTAAGTGTACAATATAACAGATTTTGAATGAACCTCTGACTATTATGCAGTCCAGCTAGGTGGTCCACAGGCCATCAGACCTGGGATGTGTGGTACTGATCCTACCCAAAGGACCGCATGACAGGACCACTACACCAGGACAAAGATCATGGAAGTCAAAGGGAGTCCACGCACGTTTCTCCTGACAGGAGTGCCCAGGCATCATTTAATCAAATATAAGGACAAAGTTTTATCTGCCTTCAAACTAGCTGGGTGCATCTACACATGTGATTTATTGTGGAGTTGACTATTTAGCTTTGCAGTAAAGCAATCACCATCTACATGTGCACCGGTATTAGGGCACAGTAAATTAATTAACTTCACCGCAGGATGAAGGGAACTGTTGGGGACATTACTATCCTACGGTGGAGTAATAATGTATGCCAGAATGCACATATAGATGGTGACAGGCTGCCTGGGGCACAAGGGTGCTATAGTGCAGAAACAGCCTGCCGCCTAGCCCTGCACTTCAGCGCTGTCGTGCCCGAGCCAGCCCCTCTGCCACCCGCCAGCACCACCCGGAGCCTGGGGCTGATCCCACGAGACTGCCGCCAGCCTGGGGTGGCTCTGCCCCAGCTCAAACTGCTGTGGTCCTGGGTGCATGTGCAGACACTGTGCCCGGGAGCACCTGACTCCAGTGCAAACTGCGCCGGAGTTTATCACATCCCCTTAATGCCACATGTAGATGCACCCACCGCAACGTACATCTTCATGTATTTGTACACACATTCAAGATGGTGTGAGCAATTACTCAAATTGCACACGGGTTTGTGAAAGCAAAGCAGTACAGCAGGAACACTTTCCGGAGAATAAAACAGAGCACAAATGGCCCTGTACATTAAGCAATCAAGCTCGCCTTTTCTTACCTGAAAGTCATGGCAAATGAATCAGGCTCATCTCTCTTTCTAATCAAAAATGCTCCATCTCGAGGAATTCGCATCAACATGTCTTCTGCTTCTCCTCGGCTCAGGTTACTGTAGTACCAGCTACAAGAGATGGGGGGTGGGAAATGGAAAAGCGATTACAAAGCTTGTCAAAGTGCCATTCACTGAAAGTAACTGGAGATGTTACTAACATGTTACAAGATAAATTATTCATTAGATTTTTCCCATCTTGCCACATATGACAGCAGCTTATTGCAAAATTCTGTAACACATCAGCTTATTTGGGGTAAAGCCATCAGCAAAACATCAGAACACCTTGTCTGCTCAAAGTAATAGAACATAAATCAGCTTGTCTCCCTGGAACAATTGCACAGAAAGCTGCCTTAACTACAGAAAATCAAATGACAGACTGGAGTAGTCATTTTGGCATGGCAGATTTTGAGGAAAAGCCCAAACACCAGTGGAGGGAAAACAACAAGCCTGGGAATATACTTATTTAGGACCAGATTCTGTCTCTTGTGGAAAAACTGTTCCACACAAGCAATGATGGCAAAGTCTCGCCTTAAATGACCACCATCTCATTCGAGTGGTGATAGGACAATTCTCCACCTGCTAGCATAAAAAGAAGGATATGTCTCCACAGCACAAGACAGTAGTGAGCAGAGAAGGGAAGCAGGGAGAGGGAGGTGGTGATCTGCAGCTCACCCTGCTCTTTGGATTTCCC